AAAAGATCATCAGCGACGACATTAAGTCATCCTGTTTTATACTCGACAGGGAAGTTGTACTCCGCGAATAAATACAGCCACCTCGCCATTCGTTGCGAGAGGTGTGGACTGTTTACGGCCGTGCGTAACGACCCATGGTCGGTACAAACGATGAAGGGCCTATCTCCTAAGAGATATACCTGAAACTTAGCCAGTGCATATTTCATGGCAAGGAGTTTCTTGTCATGCACTGGGTAGTTACGCTCAGCTGCTTGCAGCTGACGCGATTGGTAACAGACGACGCGTTCAACGCCTTCAAGATCGTACTGCATTAATGCACAGCCGATTGCGAAATCGCTGGCATCACAGACCACATGAAATGGCCTGTCCTGATCGGCTATTGCTAGGAATGGGGATTGTATCAAGCTCTGCTTGATACCATCAAAGGAGCGCTGACATTCAGCGTTCCATAACCACCTCTCGTTCTATTTCAACAAACGAGAAAGGTGCACAGTCATCTCGGCGTAATTGCGTGAATACTAATGCAAATACGCCGAAGACCTTTGACATAAACCGGCACAGGCCAGTCGGTCATCGCCTTGATCTTTTCGGGATCAGGACGTACACCGTTCTCACCAACGATGCACCCAAGAAGTGGTATTTCGCTTGCTGCAAATTACACTTCTTGAGGTTTGCATACAATTGATGCTTTCGCATGATTGTAAGAACCTGTCGGACGTGGTACCTGTGAACCTCAACATCCGACTTTCCATCCATAGCTCGACTATGGATGAATACGTCATCGAAATAACTCGGCGCGAATTCTCGTACTGGCATCAACAGATGTGATACACATCTGTTGAACGTGGCAGGGGCATTACTAAGCCCTTGTGGCATTACTAGCCATTCCCAGAGCATGCCGCTAGGCGTGCTAACTGCGGTATAGGGTATATCCCGTTCCCGCATAAGGATTTGATAGAAGCCATCCATCAAATCCATGGACGAAAAGATGGTACTCTTTGACATATCATCTATGATTACGTCCTTCCTTGGTATCGACGTCTGAGCCGGTACCGTTGCAGCGTTCAATTTGTTGAACGCGTGCACTATCCGCCACCCTCCTGTTGCTTTTCGCACACAGAAGGTCGGAGAGCTATGTGGGGAAGTTGATTCCCTCACATGGCCCGCAGCTAAACGATCGGCAAAGAACTTGTCGATCGCAAGTACTTGTTCACGAGGCAGTGGCCACTGCTTCTTGGCACAGTACTTCGAGCCTGGTTTAAGCTCGACCTCGTGTCGAATACCTTTATCCTTCGGTAATTCGCACGGAACAGTTTCAGGGAATACATCCTTGAATTCAACCAAATCTTCATAGAGAGGATTTGTCTTGAGCGATTCCCACGATTGGGAGTCATATCGCTCAATTCTTTTCATCGAGGACACTTTCGTCCATAGATGAACTACTGAGAACTCTCTCGTCCTCAGTGAACACTGTTGCTGACCTTATGTCGGTTACACACTCGTCGTCAGCGACGATTACGCAGATCTGCTTGACTTTGCCACTACGCAGATCACGCAAGAACCTTTTGTGGTCGAGCGTTGGCAACTGAGTGATCTCCGAAGTCAACTTCGGAGGCGCAATCAGATCAAGTGTATAAGCGCCTACACTTGATCCGTTATTGACTATAACATTCAATGTCTCTGTCATTTCCTGGGGACTTATTCCCTCAGGCATCGAAGGACTTATTCCTTTGGCTTCCCGGGGACTTATTCCCGCGGGTTTCGGGGAACTTTTTTCCGCCGTATTTGTAATCTTGGGACTTATTCCCTTTACTTCCTCTAGCTGGGGTTGCGCAACCACAGCGAGATCCTCTACGAAAGACTCTCCAGTCGGTCTAGGATTATCGTTTCGCTTAACCCGAGCGATCGATTGTTTCTCTTCTAGATGTTCCCCGCTAGGGATACATCTTTGTCCCAGTCCACCCGACTTATTCGAGTGGTGGACCTTCGGCGCAGCCTGTTTCCTCACAGCCGCCGGAACTTTGCTCCGAAGTGTAACCGTTTCTTGCACTAAGGTTTTGTGCAGTCGTACTAACGACCGTACCACAAGTGAGGCCATTGCACTCACTCGTAGTACATCCACACGCTTGTGGACGCTCCAAAACGTTCATCAGATGGCCATCTGATGAACAAGCGGCAGGCATCGTTACTGTTCGATGTTGTCAGTTTACCCGTGGTTCGTACCTTCTGAGCCACGGTATTCCAAGGATGACATCAAATTTGTCATCCAAATCTAATACGATAAAGTCATCGTCATACTGGGTATCTTCTAGCGTATAGTGGATCTTCACTATACGCTTCATGACGGTTACGGATGCGCCTGTCGCAAGACGTACCGTCATCCTCGTAGGAGGTGTGTAACATTCACTGAACTTAAAGTGACCATCTTCTAGCGATTGGCGTCGCACAAAATTGTTGGACGCCCCACAATCGACTAGAGCTCGAAGGGACAACTTATTCGTCACTTCGAGTTTCAAGGTAATGAGTGAGACCTCATTACCTAGAGCAGCAACGCACAACTTCTGTGTGTTGGGAGCAACCTTCATCAAGAGGCCTACAAACTCTCTTGACGTTGCTGGACCAGTAGGGTGCTCCGCACCTACTGATCCTGTCCGTTTTTTGACGGTCCATCCCGTTGTTGCGTCTTTGCACCAACAGCGGACCCTCGTCCCTGTCCCTTTCTCATGGGTGGACGGTCACTACGCCCAGTGTCGCGAGACACTGGACGAGAAGCACTACACTCGTAAGCGTAGTGTCCTGTCTTTTGACATCTGTTGCATTTCTGCAACTTCTTGTAGTCTGTAGAGCGAGTCTTCTCGCTCTCTACATAACAGAGTTCCATCGGCTCTGGACCTCCGTTGTCATATCGTCTCGGTTGACGATATGATGTCGAGCTGGCGCGAGCCTGTCTCAGACTGAAGTCTTCCTCTTCCGCAATGGAAATGGCTTATTCTAGTGAATCTAGTTCAAGTCGGAACAGGTGAGTCTTGACGGGACCATCCGCAAGACCCTGCATGAACACCGAAACCAACGTGTGTTTATCCACCGGATTGGAACTTATACAACTCGTGAGATGTAGTATATGTTGCGCGTAAGCGTGCACATCACGCTTACCCTGTTTGAGCTTCAAGAGTTCGGTTCCAGCTCTGAAATCAGCTCTAGGCGGTTCAAACGTTTGTCTGGGCCGCGACTTGAAGACTTCCAACGACCCAAACGCATATGGGTCGTGCAACTTGAGCCCCAGTGCCCAAGTCTTGGCACGTCCTGCCAGATTTGACTGGGCAAATGCAACTTGCATATCCCCGTCGTCGATGCGACGCGCCCTTATGGCGTCATCCAATTCGACGAACCATCTCAAGAGGGAGTCTTCTTCGACCCCCCTATACTTGGAGATGTCAATCTTCAAGGTTTCGGGTCGACGCGAGTGCATCGACCCACCAGCAGCAGCCTGCTGCTGTCTCAACAGTTCAAACTTTTAAACACCCTGTTCTCTCAACAACTCTGCTTGTCGAGAAACTTGTTGGTGAAGCAAGGCTACTTTCTCGTGTTCAGCGTCAAGTTCATTTTGAATGAACTTGGCGATAGTAGCATGTTGGGCATCTCTATTGAGAGCCTCTAGCATGACGCTAACAGCATGGATGCCCATGGTTGAACCCATTCGTTTAATCGCATCCCATTCGACATCGCTCAAATGGGAGTAGCCGTCACGCGTAGCGTGAAAGCTTTGGTCATCTTCATCATCCAACATATTCTTGTTGGATGTGAACGTGGTCCTTGGACGGACTACGAAGTGCTACCAGGTGTAACGGGGCACCCTGAAGCTTGTACTGGTAACAGTACAAGCTACTTATTCTGATGACAGAATAAGGCGGTGCCTCGGAACTTCACGTACACTCGTACGTGCAGAGGAAGACGGTAAGAAGAAGCGGGTACTTGGTTAAAGTAAAAAGTAGAACTGTATTTAATATAGTTAATGTCTGCAATAAATCACTATTTATCTTCATCTAACTATGTCTAAATACAAATGTGTAAATCAAATATCTGCTCACCACTCATTGCGTGCGTCTGTCGTGGCGCGTCTTCGTTGGTTGATATAATGGCCTATATCAACCAATTAGGAACTACTCGTAAGTGCTACAGAATATTTGTCCTTATGACAATATTCTGAGAATATAACTCTTATAGTTATATTCTATTAACAATTTCTTATAAATTGTTATGTAACGATTCACCCCGTTACAGGTAAAATATTGTCATGCTAGACAATCTCCCTGTTGACACCGTTTGATGTCAATATCATGCAACGAGATACCCCGTCACAATAGCTCCTGCTCCGCGGTGTATTTGCGGCTGCCTGCGAGTATTTTACGCAATGACGATGCAATCTGGACCCACAGTCGTGTACGAACATCTTGGTAACAATGAACAAAGCACCTTCCTAGCCGTACGTTGATGGCTTGACATGTGCAGGACAGTAGACAACGTCGTCATCGGTTTCGCCTGTTTCTAGTCCTGGTCGTAAGTGGAAATGGCAAGTGCGGTGCAGTTGCCTTGCAACCGAACTATTTGTTCGGCATCCATGCAGCCTCAAAGTTTACTCAACTGCAGGGCATCTCTATAGTGTTGTTTGGCGCCACCTACTGTCGTGCGCCACCAGAATGTCCCAGTCACTCCTTCCGTGCAAGCATTCCGATTCCGGACCTTTCTCATAACAAGGACCTGCATCAATTTATGAGAAAAAGGGTTCATACCGCGAGGATGAAAGCATGAGCTCCGTATCGTTGGGCAAGGGCTCACTCAACAATAGCCGCGTACCAGACACTTTGCGATGCCTGTCTTTACCTGCTTCAAACACTGTCACATCTACTCGTCGGGGGTCGCGATATCGACACTGGAATCCTTCAAGGAAAACACATGACGATTGGGACACTGGCTACGAGCGAAAGAAAAGACTTTGTCACTCAACCGCATCGCCCACTCGCACGAAGAGCTCCAGTAAAAACAGTCGATAGAGTCAAAGCAAACTTGCACGACGTATTGACAACAGCATGCGGCGGCTTGGTGGACAAATTCGCATTGTTGTTATCCGACCGAATCGCTCGCTCGGGTCCGATACGTGCTACTGCATAAAAGCCTATGACATGCAGGGCTGACAAACGAGCCTCCATGATTGGAAATTCTGATAGAGCCAGCGCAATGACAGCCGCTGGCGCTTTCTGGTCAGCACCATCAGTATATTGCGGCTACCACGTCGTACGCACCGCCAACTGGGTCGTTGGCGTGGACTCCAAGTAGACGTTGAAAAACAAAGCCGCCTTGGTGTGGCTGCCACTTCCTCCATTTTAGACCTAAAGCAGTGTTGTTTGTGATCATTTCGCTGCTCCTTTCATTCGAGGCGGTACCTAAGGGTAGGTGGGGCTGTGATCAGGGTGCGTGTCACCAATTCGAATCAGCCACTTCACTTGGGAACTAAATCCGGGCGTCACGCAATTGACCGTATTAGTCACTGAAGTGTGGCCTGAAAACAAGGAGAGGGGAGTGGGCGGACCTGATTACTGACTAGAACGCTGCATGATGTCGATAGCGATGTTCAGGGACACGGCAAAAGAACTTTTTCAGTTGATCAGCTAGCGATCACCATTGTAAACCGGGATGCACGAGAGTGTCGTATGGTGGAGGCAAAGCCGCTGGCATCAAACGCGATGGAGCTAACAAAATTAGCAACACCGTGCTATTTCCATCGCGAACGTCTGTCCACCCATGGGAAGCATCAACTGTGCCTTATCCATCACGAGCGTGACATGAAATATCGCGGTCGGATATTTACGCGTGACCCGTACCACAACTCGTTCATTCTAGATCACCGTAGAACTCGGCTCTTTTTTGTCTCGGTCTTCGCCCTTCACAAGAACAAGAGAGGGGGTGATTTCTCCATCTCTCGGCCTAATCGTGCATCCATGATAGGCATTGCCCGTCTTCTCCCGCCAATCACGAATCGACTGAATCGTCAGCGCACATGCCATCTGCTCTCAAGGTTTTGTGGCAATCTGCATGTTACAACCACACGATGAGGCAGGTCGCAATTGTCGTCTGCCACCGTCGGCCCACTTTCAAAAGTGCCGATGGCGTCCACAGATGCTGCTTTCCTCACCGAAGTCGAATCGTTCTTAAACTTGCTGGAGCTCCCACCTCTTCCAGTCCCTTCAGATAGCAACAACGAGCCGGTATCATTGAAACCCAAAGACGACGTGTCACTCGTGACGTTCGAAGGTCCCGAGTCCCCTCAGAAAGTCGACTCGGTTGGGACCACACGTCGAGTCAAGGAGCGCACGAGACGAAAGTCCTACCGCGAGCGCCAGCTCATTGAGCGGGAGAAGATGGTGCACGAGATCAAACGACTGACGGAGGAGATCCAGCGAGCCCGAGGGCAGCAGCTCTACGAACGAGCGTGGAAAGCGCTAGCCCAACGTCAATTGACTGCACGGCTCAAGGTCGAAGCCGAGCAAAAACAATTGTGTCAAGCTGTGTTTGCCCACGGTGAAATGATGCAGAAAGTCCAGAACTTCTTGCGGACGTACGATTGCCCGTTGATGACGGACTTTGCACCGCAAGATGTGATTGGGGCTGCCTGTTTCCAGCAAACGCGGATCCGCCTGATGTTTGTAAACGCCGAGATTTTTGCCACTTTTGTGCGAGAACTTGATGAAGCGTACGCCAAGACGGACTTGGTGCTCACGAGTTGGGGGATGGACTCGACAGAGGCAAATTGGGACGCACCAAGTGAGATTTCCGACAGTGAGTCGGCGTTCCAGTTCAAAAGCAAGATCACCATGCCGTTCAGCTTCAAGGAGATTTGCCACTCTCGCTGGATGGTCTCCCGATTCTACCATCGTCAAGAAGGCCGCGAGATGCACGATAAAGCGGCCGAGTTGGACAACACATTGGCGGTGAAGTTTCGCGTCAAGACTCGCTTGAACTCGGGGAAGCTTGCGACTGCAGTGCAACGTCTTGTGATCCGACGGTACTTGGAAACCGAGCGCATGGTCATTGTCTGGAGGCTGTTTACGGAAGGAGAAGGTGTTTTTACTGGCATGAGTTCGGACGAAGCTGGGTGGTGCGTTGCAACTCCTGCTAGAACAGCTAGGAAGGGAACTGTGATTCGGACGTGTGTGAACAACAAGGCGATGCTTTGTAGCGACAAGGCTGGAACAGGACCTGTCGTGAATAAATTTAAGAGCCAATTGCTGGAGTGGGGCTTGGAAAACAATGAGGAAGTTACGAACGGTCTAAAGAAAGTGTTAATTAGATAAGAGTGGTTCAGCGTGTGTTTGGGATAACGCTTAAATACACCGTCTCGTTGGAGCCCGTTGTATTACCGCCACCAGAAAGATGCATGTATCAGGACTTACCACATACGAACAGCAGCGCCGAGTGGGTGTGTTTCGAACCACGCAGTGCTCGTTCTTTCGCGAGGTGGCTCGAACATATGGCGAATAGCTTGTTGATGCTTCTACAGCGAAGCAGCAACGTTACAACATCACTCGATCGGTATCTGCAATCCACTGACGATCTCGCTCACTTTAATTTGTCAGACATAGCTGCAAAGTTATGAAACGCTTGATCCGGATACGAATCGATTGGGTTCGGCATTACATGCTCAGAGCTATTACATGGCGATGCAAGGAATTGCAAACTTCATGGAGGAGATTGCGGTCGAAGCTACTTCTATAATACTCAAATAGTACATGAGTCAGTGTTTGCCGAATCGATCCAAGTCCAAGCAAAAAACATGGACGATTAATGCACATCCAAAACGCTGATTAGCATCATGTATTCTGAATATTTGCGGATCGAAAGTTGTGGTGCAGGCGCTCTATCGATTGATCCGTGACGTGATAGCTGCGACTGTGGTCGTAGATAATGACGAAGTAGTTGTACGCAATACAGATTTCTAAACGAGTCATAGTTTGCTGTCTTTACACGATTAATTTCGCAAAAGACAGGACTTAGTGACCGACCAAAGCTGCAGTCCGACGCTCTAGCTACTTTCTATCAAATACCACTGGATGCAAATTCGATGTTCTTGTACCCACAGATAAGACGGCTGCCCTACCAACTTTCTTCCTGCGCCCCTATCGATGACCCATGTAATTGCCACATCATCGAAAGAAAAGATGTCTACATTTCTAAGATGCACCCGCTTCTCTATTTTTAAATCACAAAAGTGTCAACTTCTTCGAAAAGCCGCAAAAGCCGCTGCGACAATTCTTGCCTCATCAACTTAAATGACCTACACCTGATCAAAGAGAGCACACGTCAGCACTTTAACAGCAACATGTCGTTTCATATCAGAACATTCGACCGCTTCTTATCGAGTGGTACAGCGTACCGATGTTCCCGTACACCTGAACAAAACCGAAACTCGGTCAATAAATTGGCCCTCCACATTTTGGTCGCCTAATGGAGAGCTTCATGAGCGACCGAGGAGCAGACGGGCGGTCCGAAGCGACTTCCCCCTTACCGCGGCAGCAGCAGCAGCAGACAGCCACCCACCTCTTCGCTCGTTTCCCACATGTCCGCGAGTTTTTCTGTGGCGGTACAGCCGCTGCTATCAACATCGTCGTCACGTTCCCTCCGAACAAAGTCATGTTTCGACAGCAGGTACATGGTACCATTTGTATTAACCTTTACGTGCATGGTTTTTCGTGTTTAATTATAGTTTTATTTAACATTTTAAAGAATGTATAGTTTTCACGTATCGTGTGATGTCCAAGTTTTTAACTTTCGGTTATGCAATGCTAGTTATTCGGGTTAAATACATGGCAAGCTTTTGACAACGTGCGCAGTGAAGGCTGGACAATGTTGTACCGTGGCGTCACGCCTCCGCTCGTGCAAGCGATGGTGTCCAAGTCCATTATGTTTGGACTGTACAATTTCTACGACGACATGCTGGTCCAGAGCTTTGGGGAACGGCCAGGACTGAACCTCATTGCAGCAGCAATGGCAGGCACGTCTGAAGCTGTGCTGGCACCATTCGAGGTACACGACTGAACAGATGTTGTGCACGAAAAGTATTGTATGTAAATATCGTGTTATTGACGGTTGCTGTGTTGTGTTTGTGTGTGTAAAATAGAGGGCACAGACGCTGCTCCAAACGCCTAAATTTAATCAAGAAATCGCAGGCGCATACGATGCGATGGTCCATGTCAATAAATACGGCCTGAGAGAGCACTACCGAGGTCTTTCAGCTATTCTGTGTCGGAATGGACCGGGAAACATTTTGTTTTTTGGACTGCGTACACCGCTGCGCCAGTTGTTCCCCATGGGCGAGACAACAGCAGCGACGATGACGAACGACTTTATCTGCGGCGCCATGCTGGGCGCTATCATTAGTACTTTCACATTCCCTATCAACGGTCAGTTACTTTTTGTGTGCGCAAGCGGTTGTCGATATGATTCGCTAACTATGTTTGCTTATTTTAGTGGCTCGGACACGCATGCAGAGTGTGTACGGACAACCTTTTATCGGGCCATGGGAGGCGCTGCAGCTTACGTACCAAGAGCGAGGTCACAGTGTGAGGAAGTTGTATCGCGGCGTGCAGGTGAACTTTTTCCGCTCGCTATTGTCCTGGGGCATTATCAACTCTACCTACGAGAAATTAAAATCAATGACATGAGCGCGGCGACCTGGCCATGGACTGCTGAGCGACTAGATTGTTCGTTTTGGGATCAGCTTCTTGCGCACAAGACGCTGTTCGTACCAAGGTGATTGCACTGATCATGTATATATGGGATTGTCAAATACATCCGACTTTTTACCACATACACCCGGTGCACCACATCCATACACACCACAATAGTTTTGTACGATGAATATTGCGCCTACCTACCTCAGTACGACGACTTTCGCGCAACAATTTGCATCTGTCGTACAAATGATAAGCGTCTTATCAAGCAAACTTGTTTTAGCACACAATAGACGATTGGAGCTCTTTGCTTCGCAATATCCCAACTTAACATGTAAGAAGGTCGGGTTTTATTCCCTCTGTGTCATTGTCCCAAAAGAACGATTTATTGTTCCATAACTTTTCCTGTTTGAAAGATGAATGCATAAAGGCATAGAAGAAACCTATCAATGATAGCCACCGAAATTAACTTCTCTACAAAACGATGTTTATGCTAGTATCTTATTGTAGATAAAAGCCAAGTGTAGAGGCAGATTTATACAATTTAAGCTAAAGGATGCGTCTGATTAAAGCTGTAATAATGATTTATTATAGGCGATTTTTAAATATAGGCACAAATAGTGGTGCTTGACCTTTAATTAAGGCAAATGCTGAACATCTGGGTTTATCTTTTATTCGACTGGGTCGTTATGATTTGATATTAGAAGTAGCTCAGAAATAAGCTCTATTTCGTCGGAGAAGATCTCAAATACTTTGTCACCATCAACCTTTACTCACTTGCCCGTGCATCGCTCAAAATGAAGATATTGGTACGATTCGCGGCTAAAACCCTACTACACTCTTAACTTCCTGGCCGAACTCCAATCCTATAAGCAATACTTACACAAGTGCATTTTAGTTAACGCAAAATAATCCATTCTGGGATACCCGTAATTGCGGCTTAGTCACCGCAGCCGTCTGCGATGCACTTGAACGTGCCTCATCCTCCTCGTCGTGTATATTTGGCGATGGCACAAACACCTTCGTCTCGAATGAAAAGGCTCTCCTCATGAGCTGGGCTCTGCCCTGTTAACCCCCGTGGCCAATTCAAAGGCGCGCTGATTCGTACTGGTAGAAGGGCATTTTTACAAATACAAGCAATGCGGTGATTCCTGCATTACGGGAAAGATGACATGGAAGTCGTAACAAAGCAAGCTTGATCTTCCACCGTTAAAACCCTTAAAAAGACCTTTTTTAACATCAGTGATAATTGAGATTGAGATGCCTGTACCGAAGTTTTCGGATCAGCAGGTACAGCTAAAGTGATGGGTACTGGGTCAAGATAATGCGTACGCACATTTAATCGTGAACAATAGTCAGGTACGTGGCTACTTTCGTGATGCAGATGATATTGCGCTTACGACGTAAGAAGAACCGAATGGCCAAGTGCTGGAGTGCTGAGTGCAATACCTGTGCAGATGACATGGATTGAGACATACTATCTGCTTCCGATATATTGAAAACTCATTCAATGTACACGGACCTGATAAGCAGTTGGATTCGAAGGACTAGTTATTTAACATTCGTTAAAAAATAGTTGCTGGGTGAACAATTGGCGATAAAGGACTCGAACATTTGCGATCTGGGAACACTCAAGGCCGCTTGAGCGACGCGCCGTAGATTAGTGCACGCGAAGAAAGCTCCGTAAATCAATATAGATTTAAGAGGTCGAAAAGAAAAATTTTGGTGCCGCGAACAGCGAAATCATCCCCTGGCTACATACTTAATACTTGACACAATGTGTTCAATGTAAACAGCATGAGAATAAGCCATACTTCGGTGCTGCATCAATGCGTGCACCTCATGCTACTTTGCACTGGCAAGTGAGTTAGCAGTAGTAACAAAATGAGCATTTGGGATCTACTCCTGACAAAAATGGGCGTATTGCCGAGATACTTCTGACAACGAATCAAAGTGACTCAGATGTATAAAAAACTCAGTCGTTTAGCATTTGCCTCTATTGATCTGTTTCAAGAGATCTCAGCCTCGACAATTGGCGGCTTAAACGCTTTTCAGTCGACGTGGGTGTCAAACCTTTCATTAAAGATGCGTTTTTGATGTGAAAGTATTAGGCTTGCGACTACTGTAGTCAATAAAAATAGCACTGGCTGAAAAGGGCACAGGAAAATCTTTATATTGAGGCGCATCATCCACTGAATCTGTAAGATTGACTTTACTTGATAGGTAAATTAAAAGAGACAAGCATGTTGCAACTGAGGGAGTATGTGATTTACAGGCGATATATCAAGAAGGCGGTATACATACACACCGCACCAAAAAAACATTTCACCCACGTTTTATCTACTGCTCCGTCAGTTTTATGTATTCGGGGGTGCCGTTTAGATATACTATTATGTATTAACAGAAACACCATGTACGTAATACTGATTGCGACTATTCAAATCATAGGGGCATCATGTACAAATTTCTGGTTTCGCCACTGCGACATTATATCGTATGAAAATAGCATACATCACTTAACATTAATGTTATAGTATGACTGTAGTAATGGGTTGACATCAGTGGCACATGACTATTACTGACACGACGTTGGCGACAAATATTTACGGTAATGGAAACAAGAAGCCGACAAGTAAAAGTGGAGAAGGATCTTACGACATCGAGAGGCGGCCTGAGTTTGCGCGCCATCAAGGCTGTTACCTTACGGAGCCTTGACGCTATAAGTCGAGTAGTGTCCCCTGTATCGTATCTGCAGATGAATTTCCAAGGAACCGCTTTCCTTCGATCGAAGCGTCGCATACTACTTCTCTTGCATACCTCTGCTCAGGTAGTACCTGTCCTCCTCCCATATCGAGGTCAAGCTAAGCCTACTGGTGTCCGTTCGCACCGTGCAGCGAAAATTTGGCCAATTTCGACTGACTTTATTCTTCAAGATGGAAATCACGATGCCGCTAAAGATTGCAGACATGGGTACGCGCAAATTCTAGGACAAGGATATGCTGGTGTGTATGGATGTCGGATCAATTTACTACTCCATTATTCTCGTGGAACAGAAAAAATGAATCTCAATGGACTCGAACGTTTCCAGCACTACTGGCGAGATCTGCGCCAGTCCGTCCACCAGACGAAGCGATATCAAGCTGAAAGTGGGCTTTTCGCGTTTGAGCCGCTTTAATAGCCCTTAGCAAGTCACCACTTGTTCTGCTGACAGGGAGGCAGCATTCGAATTGCTTTGTGCATAGAGCGTCTGAAAATCATCAATCTTGTATACACATCTGAAATATTGCACATTCTTTGTCTTTTAACAGGACAACACAAGCATACATCTTTTATATCTTAGCCATAGTTTCTTTAGTTAAGAGGGGATTTAGGTGCTTGACAGGACATCAAAACCATCTGATCTTAATCCCATAGAAAATTGGGATCCGTCATTTGCAGAAAAGTGTATGCCATTGGAACACAGTTCGAGCTCGTGTCTAATTTGAAGTCTGCGCTAAGTGCAACATGTTATGCAATTTCAAATGCCACACTAGTATCGCGCCGCTTTTTATCTTGATCTGTGACGATGCATCGAGGCTATCGGGAAGAATGGCCGAGAAATGACTAGATACAGCAAGCCTTTATCTGTATATTATGCACACTTAAAAATGAGTTTGCTGGTTGTGCAAATATATGTGTGAAACAGTGATAAACCCATAATTGATGTGTGAAGCCCCTTAATCTTCGCGAAATCGCAATCTTTAGCAGATATAGGATGTTTCGATTCGTAAAATGCATTGCCTATTCAAAAAGCATCACCGAATTCGTAAGAAATGACTAAGCGGGTGGTTGTGAGTTATTTTCGCTGAGTTAATCATCATGCCCTTTTGAGTTTAGCCACACACTCTATCAAAAGTAGAGATAGCTCTTAGCCTCACCCCATTTCGGTACAGCCATATCAACCATAAAAGCAGAAACCCCTCTTTGCCACAACCACTTTTCGGCATGGTCGCACCCCTTGTTGACATAGTGTAACGGGGTCTCACTTGCCTTTGGCTGAATTGGTCAAAGACCTCCCATAACTGATTTGGATTAATGTGTGTGACCTTAGATTTTATATCAGCAAGAGAATATCGATTGATCGATATTACCAGGTTTGCGGTACTTACCGTGTACGTACATTGTACCGTCATCATTTGATGACTGAGTGATGTGGCAACCATCCATTTAGTTCGAGTACTGGTAAATGTATTTAGGATAATATTACGTACATAAAGTAGGATTTCCTTGATGTAAAATCTAAATAAAGTTCAGTTCTTATTTTAAGCAGAAGCCCCTAGACTCCCCCCCCTTTCGCACCTTGCGTTTGACAGTTCTTTAGAAGTGTCGTGGGACAGAGAGTCTTTAGACTCCGGTATTCCCCTTTCGCACATTGTGCGTGTAGTTCCTTCGAACTACAGTAGCTGAGCTGTTAGCTCGTAGAGTCCACCCGAGTTCCGTAGAACTGGGTGACTCTTTAACTTGATATTTTAGTTCCGTAGAACTAAAAGGCTATCAGCCATAAGCCGTTGGCTTGTTAAATAAGTCTTCCTCTGACTTGAAGAGCTATGTAGCTCCGCTACACTTGGTAGCAATTGTAGTCAATCCTACACCTGAGTCGTTTCGACTTATCCTCTGTGAGAGATGGAAAGCCTTGACTTCCTCTCTGAGGCTCAAGGTATCGCGCTTGATAAGCTTAGATCGTTGATAGGGGTCGAGCAGGTCGACCACGTTGTGGCTGAAGGCCCAGAAGTGCTTAATTGCACGTCTTGATGCATTTAGGCAGTTTGAGGCCACGCTGGTAGGGCAGGTCTACGACCATTTAAACTCAGCCGTACCAACACGGTACTTTCAAGTATCTGACATGTGAGTCAAAGACTCGTCCGCTCACTCTTAGCGTAAAGACTTTCGAGGGTAAAGAGGGGGTAAGTCTCCTCCTATAAATCCGAGAAATTGATATGGCTATTGAAGCC